ACGCTCCAATAGCGACCGCTACGATACAGACAGCTTAAAAACGCAAATAACGTCTTAGGAAATCGAGAGCCACCCATAGACAAAAGATATGACTTGGTACTCATGGTCTATGGAAAACATAACTCGCGAAGCCACTCCAGAATAATTCCAGTCGGACCCGCAGGTGCTGTGTTGCTTCAGTCTCGTGTGCGGGAGGTGTCAACTGAACGCGTAGCCCAGACATTGGTGACACGTAGACAGCCAGTAAAATTATGGGCTTCTGATAGGTTAAAACTTAACCTGATAGAAAGATCCAAGAAAATTCCTGAAAATTATTTTACCCGTGGCGAAGATGCTGGGGGGAAGCACCTACCGACCGGTAGGTAATCTGCAGACATACTTCGACGCGGAGATGGCTAGACTCCTTCAAGAGCACCAAATGTCACCAACACGATTTGACAGGGGGGAGAACAGGGATCGACAGGAGTCGCTCACAGCGTCCGACCGAAATAGTCCAGGTGAGGGTGATCAAGTCTCAAGGCAACCTACTATCCCACATGTGGACTTAGATTTTTTATGAAGCCTGCGGATATGACCAAGATGAACTGAACCTGATGGAGCTCATGGCAATAATGTCTAACGCCACACTATGACAAGCGCTCGACTTTATTCCCCGCATTAAACTTTCAACGAACCCGAATCTCACGGAATTAAATGGACGGGATCTGGACGAAGACCGAGCACGCAGTTTGGTGACCACCTTGAAGAGTGCTTTTTTCACGAGTTACCAATTTCCGGATGGAAAAAAAGTTTCTCGTTTTGGAGGAATACTAACTAGCTTAACACAGAATTGGTACAGCCAACTGAGTCGGTCGATTAGAGGAATTTGAAAGAACCTGGTGCAAGAATTTATCGATGCAGTTCTGTAATATGTGGGTATTAGGAGCTCTCCTGTATTACCACCCAAAGTAAAGGTCGGATGAATCCTCGCTGGACTACTTATACGGATTGAATGTGATTGCTCAAAATGAGTGGCATATTCTTGCCAACGGGAGAGTCAATCTACTATGTAAGCTTTTCCTGTAATGCACTAGAGTGCACTTTGTGCACATCGTGTAAGTGTTGCTGCAACATCACGTTGACAACATGTCTCTGTACGAAACCTCTGGAAAGAGACTTATCTGATGTTATTTAATATACCATGTGTTACATTGCCTAAGGGTATACAAAGTGGCCACAATACCGACTCTCTCTATGCGACCAATGTAAAAAATTAGACCGTTAGTATTTTGGATGCCCGTTGGTAAGTCGCAAAAAAACATTGTAGACGCCGGGTATGATACTCAATCGAAAGTGTGGTCTCCGTAAGACGTTGACAGAAGCTAGGCGCGCTCACGCGATACACTGGTCCGATAAATCTTAGAAGCATCAAGTATTTAGTTTCAACGGAGAAATCTCTTCATTCGGGAATGGTTTGCGAGGTTTTTCCATTCGAAATAGGGTACAAGCAAACGACGCCAAACTGCGGCAGAAGGCTGCTTCGATAATACGTAGGTCTTGCGACTTCAAGTTTGTCTGATGTAATCGACGTGACTAGCATTGTGTACAATACTCATTTTTTAGGGAAAGCCTTGAATCCATGCGAACGAAAAAGACTCAGTAAAGATTTACTTAGATACGATACAAGAAGCCAAGATTTCATATTTATACATCTGGTTACAGATATTAGCATGCATCAATTATCGAACGAGATGGGATTTGGCTTTCGGTTTGCGGTGATAGCAAGCTCGTGTAAAATTACCAACAAAGATGATTTATGGATCGGAACGTAGAGACAGACAATTGGTTAGTACAAAGAGGTGTAAAGTAGGGTTTAACTGCTACTTAAGCTTATTGTAGGATCTGTTAAGGTTTGGGTATACTAATTGCAATTTTCAGGACGACCCACTCGTTTCAGGCACGTGCGAAACTGGAGTGCGCTGGATGATCGATAAATTATGTTTGCTTTTGGTTCTACGCCTCGGATTTAAGCACGTTTTGCAATAAAATGTCTATTCTGTATGGTGAAAGATCGCAAAAAAATGCTTTATTGGCCTATCAATAACTTACTTTTGGGTAATCGCGGTATAGAAACAAATTGTCTTGTTTGTTTGTAACTAGGCCACCATAAAATGAATTCTAAAACACCTTGAGTTTATAATGTAACAGAAAAAAATTGTGTCATCACTACGACAGCTAATCAAATGTTAGTCAAAAGCGTACGTTCATGTTCTCTGAGTCACACCGGATGTTGGTTTTTACGATGAAAAGCGTCAAGAATGACGCACATCCACGACAGGGATCTGCACCATTACAAAAATCGAGAAGCAAGCTCTGAAGATCGTATATTGGTAACACGGATGTAGTCCGAAAAACTTGATCAAGTAATGAATGCTCTCGTACCCTTTGAAGATGAAGGGCTTACGAGTGGGAAACTATACGTGCGCGGTAAGGTGTTACATACGTAGCATTGCCGTGGCTGTCGTGTGATACCGTATATTCGTCGGTGTAAATGTGCTGGAGAAAAGGATGCGGGTAAGGGATGGTATGGATGACCCTATTGATGCAACAACAACAGAAGCAACGCAAGTGAGATCGATGACATGTACTATGTCGATCAGATAACGAAAGTTCAAAAGCTCCGTCCGCCGCGAGCAAGGAGGATGACACCAGACTTACTACTTACTTTTGACAAATAATTACGAATGAAGAGATTACAATGCATGTCGATATTATAAGTGATGCTCTATTATGGTTTATACATGAGAGTATAGCGGGTTCTCAACGAGTGATTCCTCCATCGGCAGGTTTCCACTGCGTCTTAGGTACTTCGTAAATGTTCTATTTGACTACAAAACATCAGCACGCCTCGGGGATGGCGTGCTTGCCTATCATAGCATGCTTTCGCCGTACATCTACCTCATGTATCTGCAAAATCTCACATGATAGAGGAGACGGTAAAAGTGGAGGTGAAGGTGGTGATGATGCTGGTGATGGTGATATCGCAGCTGATAGTGGGGTGCTGGAGGTGCGAGATCTTCGCAGCTCCAGAGCGTCGAGTGATTGTTTTCTTTGCGCTTTTCATCGCTTTAGAGCAGCATGAGCGTGTGTGTGAGTGGCTCACTCACTCTCGAGCGGCCGCTTCTATTCGAAGTGTGACATCGAATATGCATTTTCACGTATACATAGAGACAATGCTAGACCGCATTTACGAAATACTCACAGAATGTAGCTGCTGGACAAGTTCGGCTACCCCCTCCCTCCTACTTGCTAACTATTCGCCTTCCGGATTCACAATATCCTCAGCCATAGATGCATGCTCGGTACACGATCGCTATAATTATTTTTCTGCGATATACAAATGTTTCCGAAACGTTGCAAAGATGGTGCGGCTTTCGCTGCGAATCGATCGTGACGCTACGTCAACGCTGACCACGAACAACAGGAATTTTACGAAGTCGAGGATTGGTCACTACTCTTCGTAATACACCTTAGACCGAACATACTCAAGAAGCAAGGAGAAGCATCACTGTTTACAAAGAAAGTCGAATGAATGCGTCCGCGTTGATCATGGCTTCAGCTGATCAATAGTCGATGTCCGACGAAGGGTGAAGCCAAATCTATTCAGTTGGAGTCATTGCTAGTGGGTTATTAGGCAACGTTCGGGAACCACATTAGTGAGAGGGCGCCATACGAAATCAAGTACATTGGCGGTATCATCAAGTTCGTCGGAGAATCGCCAAGAGAGGAATTCAATTCGTGAGCCTGGATGTACGGAAGACAGTGCGTGTACTGATGATTGACTTTACCATGATACAGTTGCTGATCTAGACTGGACAGATTGCACCAAACGATCGCTCGCTTTGTGCATTCAGATATCGACAATAGCATAGCGACACGCTGTCGTCATGACCAGTTTCAGCGAAGGGAGAGGTAGGCATTAGATTGGTTTATGACCGGTGATGTCAGGGGTTATCAAGATTACGTCAGACAGATGGATGGTTGTATCCTACACTTAGCGCCGCCGTCAAAGGAGTGCACACGCCGTCTTCTTCTACCATATGTACCTGGCGCTAGAGCCGTCTCCTTCTTCCGAATGGACCTGGCGCTAGCCAGAGCAAAGACACAGCAGTATATGCTGTTGAACATGTTGCCCACGTCATATTACGATGCCTCTCAACAAGATACACGTCGTACATGCTACCGTACCAAATCGAAGTAACCGATGTTCAGGATCAAGTTCGTCAGTTCGTCCGTCCCGTGGAAACCGCCTGATATCCATATTGTAAAGTCAAGCGAGTTGCAGAATGGAGCGCCAAGGTCGTACATCTTTTCATGTGGCACTCTTCACGATATCGAACATCAGACGGCCATTCCAGCTATGACGAAATAGCAGTCGTCAGAGGTCACTCTTGCTAAAGAATGATAATGGACATGCAGACGATGGCCACCGTCCGACTTGGTCGGCTAGCTCCATGAACCAAGTAAGGGTCGAGTCTATGCCTATGTACCCATTTGCGCTTATCGTCATCGTGAGACGCATGTGCAAGCCCAACGAAGCAGTCAACCTTGGACATGGATTCATCACTACGGGAATCAATCGATGCATCATATCTAAGTGTTTTCTTCCTAGTGCGCGATAATCGAGACGAATAGCACATTCGATTTGAGTGCAATTGCAGCTTTCAAGAAAGCGCTTTTTATATCAAGCGACTCAGACGATGCAGCAAATTAACAGCATCGTCGAGCCTCTCTTCAAACGAAGCACGTTTCAACAACGACCTGATTCCGCCACGGGGGTATTTCAACCAATCGTTGGTGAACAGCCAACACGACCGTCGCCTCGGTCGCTTCGTTTGGAACGACAGGAACTCACGGTCACCACGTCCCCCGTGTATACCGATACGAAGCCGGACGATCAACTTTGACGCCAAATGTCCAGGCGTACTGTAGTAGCCCACAAAGCGATCTATCTCCCAAGTATGACAGGCCCGACGACCGAAAAGAAGTACCGCTTCACGCGCCAGGACTTCCAGCCACTGGTGACAAAGCCCCTGCACTTCGACATGGTGTTCGACGTCACGGAAGCGAAGGTGAAGGTGACGCTGCAGACGACGCTCAAGCACGACGGGGCGCAGGCGCTCTCCCAGCTGAAACTGCACGCGAAGGACCTGGAGATTCTGTCTGTCGAGCAGCTCGCGGCGTTTACGCCATTGGGCGGTACGAAGGACTTTGTGACTCACGTGCAGAGCTTTGCCGAGCCCCGTGCGCTGGAGCACCACGTGGATCAGGAGGACCACTTTCTCCTCGTGACGTTGGCCAAAGCCGTGGAGCCTGGAGAAGAGTTTGTGCTCCGCACGGTCTCAGTGGCCACCCCGACCGAGAACATTCTGGAAGGGCTGTACTATGACTATACGCCAGAAGGCGCCCCCAAGACCATTATCACGCAGTGCCAGCAGCACGGGTTCCAACGCATTGTGCCGTGCATTGACACGATGGACGCTAAGGCGTACTACACGACAACCATTGTCGCAAGTAAGCGCTATACGAACGTCATTACGAACGGAGACTTGGCACCTGGATTCCACACGGACGCGGGGGTGCCTGTGTTCCACCCGGCAGCAGAAGTGCTGCGCGTCGACGACCCGTCACGCCATGTGCTTAAGTACTACAACCACAAGGTCAACATGGCCCCGTACCTGTTCTTCCTCGGTGTAGGCACTTATGAGACGTTTCGACGCACACTTGAGTTCCCGGATGGAGACACGACGTTGTTGGAGATCTTGGCGTTCCCAGGCTACTTTGAAGCGGCTGACGCTAAAGCAGCTGTCAAGATGCTACACGACTCTGTGCTGTGGGTAATGGTGAGTCTCGGCCCAGAGGCCTGCGAACACCATGATGAGCGGAAGCGTATTTACGAGCTGCTGGAAGAGCGGGAAGCCATCAAGATGAAAGAAGGCGAACTGTGCCTCGGACCGCACGAAGATGATGTGAAAAAGCCGCTGAGTGACGCTGACGCTGCACGTCTGGCGGCCGTTCGCGCCGAGTTGAAGGAGCTGCTGAAGGTGTGGAACAAGACTGGCTACAAGTACTCTGGTGCTGTGTACCGCGAGATCGCTATGGAGAACTCGTACTACGGTGGTATGGAGAATGTTGGCAACACCACCATCGTAAGTTCGTGTCTGTGCCCGAGTTGCCGCATGGACGACAAGTCGTATGAGTACATGGAGCATGTGAAAGTCCACGAATACTACCACAACATCAATGGCAGTCAGGTCACGGGCCAATCACCGTTTGAGATTTGGCTGAATGAGGCTGTCACGGTGCACATGGAACGCAAGCGCGCAGCGGCTATATTTGGCAAGGATTACGGTCGCCTAAGCGAAGTGCTGTACATGTTCACTCCAGCCATCGGACCGCTTGCTCAAGACAAGTCGGCGACATCTCTGTCTGTCGAGCCACAGGGTTTTAATCAGACTCAGGAACTTGTATCTGTTGTGACCTACTCAAAGGCTCCAGAGTTTGTCCGCATGGTGGAACTTCTTCTGGGCCAGGATGCTTTCCACAAAGCACTTGACATGTACCACACTAGATACGCGTTTGGCAATGCCACGAGCATGGATTGGATCAAATGCATGGAAGAGTGCTCGGGACTGGACTTGCAAAACCTGGCGAAGACATGGCTGAACCGCCCAGGCCATCCTGAAGTTACGTACTCAACAGAGTACAAGGCGGATTCTAGCGAATACATCGTAAAGATCTTGCAGACGGGTTTTGAAGACAAGCCTGCTGAGAACAATGGTCCTTGGGAAATTCCAATCGACTGGTCGCTTGTCAAAGATGGGATGTCGATGAAGGAAGGCGTGTTTCTCATGAAAACAAAGGATACTAAACTTGTCATCCCAGATGTGGCGGAGGAGCCGGATTTCCTGTCTTTTGCTCGTGGATGGTCTTTCTTCGGCAAATCGAAGCAGACGAATCCGTCGGTAGCGCGACTCACGAAGCAAGCGCTGTCCGATCCAGACGCTGTAAACAAGTACCAGGCCTACCGCAGCGTGGCAGATATCGAGAAGGCAAAGGTGATTGAAGGACTGTTGACGGAAAACAAGACGGTGGAAATTTCGTCCGAGTTTGTGGAGCTGCACGGTTCAATCCTGTTCTCAGACGAGCTCACTCCTTCAGCACGGGCGTTGACGCTGATTGAATCGAAGACCATCCCGAGTCGTGACGACCTGAGTCACCATTATGCTGCCATCAAGGAGGCAACCACAGCCCTGTTGCAGGCGGTGTGGGCCAAGTATGCAGCCAAAATCGAAGCGGCATACAACAAGCTGTGCGAAGCAGCCCGCCCTGGCCCGCACGTGGATCAGTTTCAGGAGCGTGCTCTCAAGCGTCACTTCCTGCTGCTCATTGTCGCTGGTGGAAAGCCACCTGTGCTTAGCACGACACCTACCGTAAAACCGACGGTGGCACCATCCGAGCTGGCACTCGACCTGCTCAAGAAATCTACGTTTGTGACGGATCAGGCCACCGGTTTCCGCCTCGTTCTTGAGGACGAGAGCTTCGCAGAGCGCGCGGAGGTGCAGGCAGAGATTTTTGAGGAATGGCGTAAGACGCCTGACATGCTTACGAAATACATCGGCATTATGAGCAGCTTGGGTGCGACGGACGTGGGCGAGCAGATTCTGAAGCTCATGGCGAGCCCTAGCTTCAACCCAGCTCAGTCCAGCCACGGACGGACGCTTTCACGTGGTCTGTCGCAGATCCGCGACTTTTCGCTCGGCACGGACGAGGGTCTTGACGTGATGGTGCAGGTGTTTGTGAAAGTCGGCAAGGTCAACCAAATGTCAGCGTATCCATTGCTACAGTGCTTCGATCACCTGGACCGATTTGATGAAGCCACAAAAGCGAAGATGTTTGCGACACTACAGCGCATGCAGGCCTCAATCGACGAGAAGAAAGAGGAGTCGCTTTACAACCAGCTCAGCATAATCCTGGCGAAGAAGCAGTAAGCCGTGCCACAGCTTTGCGTGGGAAGGGGTGGAAGGATCTGAAATTGTTGAATGAGCAAGCGTGGGAATAAAACCGCAACATTCGCCTCGCCATAGCGTCGTGCCTTTTTGCAAATGTTGCTATGCTACAATCGCACGGAGAGGTATGTCATTACGTTGCTGACTGTTTAGCGTCGCATCACCTCGTTTCGGCCTTCATCAGCATGCGCGTCTTGTCCGGTATGAACTACATGTCGTTTCAGACCGTGTAGATCGCTTGTCGTGGTAAAGTTCCACGCGAGTAAACTAACGAGTCGAGCAGGTCTGGTCCGAATTCTTCGACATGAGAATTGCTGGGATACTGTCCTGACGATGACTGCAAGACAGCCGCGAATGAGACTTTCGGCACAAAAGAGAGGTGAGAGTGTAGATCTGGATGTATCAAATTGTAGTATGATTGCAAGCCGAGAGAGCAAAGCTGTTCGTGAGTGTGTGCAAGATGGGTACCGAACGTTCCGGTAGCAGCTTTGTGTGTGCATGAGTGAGTCTGTATATACGTGTCTGTAAGACAATGCATAACGCTTTTTCGTCCTTCGTGCTTGCAAAAGCACAACAAGTAGGAAGGTAATGGTCACCTTCCTCGCTTGGCGGCATCTCCCAAGCTTTCTCCTCCTTCTCAGTCAATCTCATTTCTTTGGTCGCACTTGGTCGTTGTTATTGTCGCACAGACAAGACCAGCCATCGCCTCTCTTTCCTCTCATCCTTCCTTGAACGCATCGGCACCACCAACGAGTGCCTTACCACACAACGACCACGGCGACACTGTTGATATTGCACTTCACAGCGCACAACCCATTCTTCCGCTGCCAACCCCGGCCATCCGAAATTCACCTACACGAATATCCAAACACTTGATCCAGTTCCCTACTCTTTGTAACTTTTGTTTCATAGGTCGAGCTCCAGAGCTTGCCCCTATCGGAGTTACTAGCCGTGAAGCAGCAATAAAACACCTTACACTAGTCCTGATGTAGTTCTTTCTACACTCAGACCTACAAGAGCACTCTCGAGAAGGATGACAACGATGGTTGAATATGTGGTAGTGCTGCTGCAGCGGTGCACCACGAAAAGGTAGAAGCGAAGATGCGCAACAGCAAACGAGGACGACAGCTCGTTATGCATGCAACTAAAGCACAAAACCATTTACGTTCTACTTCTGACGTTAATTACGCCAACAACGGCGAAGTGATTCGATCTTTCGTCCGTTGTTGTCGTTATTGTTGTTGCTGTTGTTGTTGTTGTTGTTGCAAACAGCAGATGAGCCCCGTCGACTATGACAAGGACGAAACATTGTATCGTACGCGAAGAGACGTCGGAGGAGATGTAGAAGCAGGAGCGGAGGCAGCATCTGGTCGACCCCTTTCGCGGTGCCGTCTTGGAGCACATACGCAGGCGTTGCTTTGGTCCGAAACATGCTACAACTATCGATGCGTTACATCCCCACGGACGAGAAAGGAATTATGGCATACGCCTTATCTTTTTCTCCAACGTAGAACCAACTCTGATCACTCAAAGTGCGGAGTATGGTGGCATGTTTCCGTATAATTGAGCCAAACTTCTTGCTGCTAGACATATAGTGTAACGGGGCACACCCTTGCGTGAACTTAACGCAAGGGTATCGGTGCCCCGACAGACGTACACAAGGCAAGCGAGGAAGCGTAGGTAAGGTAAAAGCAGAACTGTTATATTAATATAATTAAGTCTTTAACTACTGTCTCTCTGTTTGACTTAACTTAATTATGCTAATATAACTGAGTGTATTGTGACGTCTCGTCACCACTCATTGCGCGCGTCTTGCGGCGATTGGTGGGTCGATATCATCAAGATATCAACCAATGAACAGACTCTTTGGTCGACCCTTCAATATCACCGCTTCGGTGATATTGTTGAAAGAATATTCAACTTCATATTTTTTATTGTCACTTTTCTTAAAGTGACAATTTCATGTAACGGGCTGCCCCGTTACATCGCCCCCCCCCTTAACTGATAGTCACCGTGTGACTATCGAAAATTATGGCGGCCACCCGTTGGGCGCCATTGGGACAGGGAGCACTTGTTGGGTCCGTTCCATTCACTTTCCGCTCGACCTCGCATAGTTAACATGTCTATGCGGGGTGACTCAAGGCACACAGAGTCTGTGCCTGTACCAGCTTCTGCGGCAGACGATTCGCCGTCTGCTGCTCGTTCTTCGCCTGCAGCAAGAGGTGCTGCAGGTGCACGCGGTACAGCACCGCGTGCGCATGGTGACCCCGACATTGAGGTCATCTACTCTGACGAGTCAGACGTGTCTGACTCGGGCAATGCTGCAGATGCGTCTCGCTCACCGGCGACGCCTCAGTGTTCGCCAAGGCCACTGCCGAACGAACGGACTCGTGAGTTGCAACACAGTCTGTTCGGCAGTGATGACGAATCTGGTGATGAGTATGTTTGCTCATCACCGCGATCAACTCGTGCGCCTTCGCACGAGCGACCTGACGATGGTGCAACCCATCGTCATAATGACAACCGTGGTACCAACAAAGGTACCACCGTGAAGCGTGATGAGCTGAAGCCGTGGCGTTTGCCCGAACGGCTCATCAATGGCTTGTCTCACGAGACAAGCCAACACCATCGAATACCCTTATTCGATGCGACTGAGCTTCACGGCTTGACTCCCAGCGCGAGCAGCTTTCGCGCTGAAGAAGATTTTTATCTCGATGTCTTCTTCAGACATCGATGGTACAACAGCAACCAAAAGCGTGACAAAGCCTCTCTTTTGGCTGCGTGGAACGCGTTCGTCCAAAACGTAAAGAATTTTGGACGAGAAGGGTGGCTCAAGAAACTTGAGGCGACACGCCTCAGGTTCGAAAAGGGAACGCCAACCGGTACTAGGTACCGGTTGCATTGTTTGTCGAGTGAGGCAGGCATTCCTTGCCTCACATGGGGAGACCCTTGTGCGAGTTATGTTGACAACTCGCAACGTGCACATAGGGACGTGTATTCCCTAAGTTCGCCCTGGGGAAGGGCACATCTCTCGGAGGAAATGCGTGACGCGATTGCAAACTTGCAATCCGTCTACAAGCGTCTAGGGCGAGTTTTTACCGATGGGCCCGAGGACTCATCGGATGGGTCTCGTCATACTGGCGGACGAGACCTTCAACATCCATCAACAGCTGAGAGCGGGGCTCCCAGCTGTTCCAAGAGGGTGGATACCCCCGCCACTGGACGAGGTAGCTCGTCCTTGATCCTGAATCGTCACGGTGATTTAAGATACGCTCCACTAGAAAGCGTTGAACACCGTGAGCAACCACAAAAGGATGTGGTGGAGGAGGAAAGACCTCCTTCAGATGATTCGGCTCACCATCTCGACCCTTACGAGATGGATCGCGCAAACGATGAATTGCGCGATGACTTATAGCACGAGCACGACTGGCGCTACGCTTTAACTGATACCGTGCGGAAGAACCGCAAGGGTCACGAGGCTGATCGGGCGAGGGACCGCGCCGATTATGCCACGGCGCAGCTTCAGGTCAAGCGGGATGTCCGCTCCCTATTCGGCGAGCTGGCGACAGCTCGCGGGGAGATATCTCGGTTGATTTCCGAGGTATCATATCTGTGCGACCAGACGGATCGTCTGGAGCGCGAACGCAAGGACTTGAAGGATGTTCTTGAACGTGGGGGCTATCTTCACCGGAAGAAGAAGGCTCGTACTGACAGTACGGCCTGAACCTCCCCACGTAAAACGGGTAGGATGCGTGCGCATCTTACGTGGCAATTCGAGTGTGTATGCATTGCCCTTGCGATGCAACACTCGAAATGGCCCAATATACTTCGGCAGTAGTTTACTACTGCCGACACTAGTGACTGCATGTCCAGGTAAGTTTACCGTAGACAGTAGTACTAGGTCATTAACTTTAAAGGAAAGAACATTTGATCTTCCATTCTTGTCTGCGTTCCGTTTCTGAAGGTCCACCGCATTTGCGATGGAGTCCTGAACGAATCGGACTACCGCTTCTCGAGTCAGCAGGAAGTTCTCTGCTGACTCTATGTTTTGTCTTTCAGTGCGCTTCGTGCGCACTGCTAAGAGATCGTTCTCTCCTTCAGCGAGGTTGTCTTCTTCCTCGCTGGCATAATCGTTGACGATGCTGAATATACCAGCATCGTCATCATCATCCGAGTCAGTAATAGCGTCACCGCTATTACTGAGGTGATCTTCTTCATCGATGTCGACTTGATCGACATCGGCATCATACGTGACGACGTTAGCGTCGACACGTGATGAGCAAGAGCCAAAACGGTTTTTGCTCGAGCGAGTCCCTCCCCCGTTATCCAAGAGTCACACTCTAGAAGGGCGGGCACACGTCGATGGCGTAGGCCATTCACGTAAAACGGTGGGTGCTGTGTGGAAGCATGCACCGAATTATTGATGGCGAATTCCACCATGTGTAGGAATTCGCTCCAACTCGGGAACGAGTGGACATATCCTCGAAGGATCTCTTCGAGGACACGGTTCGCACGTTCCGTCTGACCATCTATTTCTGGATGGTCAGAAGTAGACATCTTCAATCGTGTTCCCAATGTGCGGAACACGGTTTGCCAAAATGCCGCCGTGAACCGAGGGTGACGGTCGGATACGAGTTCACGGGGTAACCCGTGGAGTCTAAAGACCGTGTCTAGAAAGACACGAGCAAAACCTTGAGCCTTGATCGACTCAGAGACTGCAGCAAGATGCACCATCTTGCCGAAACTATCTACAAACACAAGAATACCATTATTCTTGTGAGCGTCTTCGGGAAACCCGAAGACGAAGTCCATTGAAACGAAATGCCAGCACTCTGCCGGAACAGGCAGAGGCTGCAATGGCGCACGGGATGAAGGACTAGGCTTCACCCGTTAAAAACCTCGCAAGCACGTATGTACTTGCGAACAAACTGATACTGGAGTGGCCAGTAAAAGTCACGACTCACCGTGAGGTAAGTCTTTTC